GCAGGGAAGGGTCTCTGGGCGCAGGGAAGGGTCTCTGGGCGCAGGGAAGGGTCTCTGGGAGCAGAGAAGGGTCTCTGGGCGCAGGGAAGGGTCTCTGGGCGCAGGGAAGGGTCTCTGGGTGCAGGGAAGGGTCTCTGGGCATAGGGAAGGGTCTCTGGGCACAGAGAAGGGTCTCTGGGAGCAGGGAAGGGTCTCTGGGCACAAGGAAGGGTCTCTGGGCGCAGGGAAGGGTCTCTGGGCAGCACTTGCCTGCGCTCACACAGGGCGTGGTTGTCTTCATCATGGAGTCCTGGCAGCCTGCAAACACCCAGCGGGGGGGCGGCCTTTGAGTCCCAGCCAGAGCCGGGCCAGTGGAGGCCCGCTGCGGGGACAGGGCCAGGCATCATCCAGGCGAGGGGGGGGGGAGGCACTGAAGCGCTCCTGTGCGGTCAGGACGCCCAGGCCGGCAGTGCGCAGCGGGCCACGCGGGGGCGGGGGCTGGGCAGCGGGCTTCAGTCCTGAGTCCCCGGGCTCAGGGTGAGCGCTCAGGGGTGCAGCAGGGCAGGGCAGGATGAGCGCTCAGGGGTGCAGCAGGGCAGGGCAGGATGAGCGCTCAGGGGCGCGGCAGGGCAGGGTGAGCGCTCAGGGGCGCAGCAGGGCAGGGCAGGGTGAGCGCTCAGGGGCGCAGCAGGGCAGGGCAGGGTGAGCGCTCAGGGGTGCAGCAGGGCAGGGTGAGCGCTCAGGGGTGCAGCAGGGCAGGGCAGGGTGAGCGCTCAGGGGCGCAGCAGGGCAGGGTGAGCGCTCAGGGGCACAGCAGGGCAGGGTGAGCGCTCAGGGGCGCAGCAGGGCAGGGCAGGGTGAGCGCTCACGGGCACGCGCGAAGCCTGCGCCCCACACCACAGCCGACTGGGCAGGGCAGGGACGGTCCGGCACCTTCCGTGCCAGGCCGGCGCACGTGCAAGGCTCTGGGCGTTCACCGATGGGTGGGCCCAAGGCCGGCCCTGTGTGTGGGCGGCGTCCGGGCGGGTAGGGGCCGGCGCAGCTCCGGAGGAGGCCTCTCCTGGGCTGGGCCGGGCTCTTACCAGGCACCACCACTCTCCTGGACTGATGGTTGGGGTCCCCATCGGGGAAGGGCTTGGGGAGGTGGTGCACCGTCACCTCGTACTCCTCCGCAGGGTCCACCACGAAGTGCTCAAAGCTGAACCGCCACTGTGGGGAGGGCAGGGGGAGGGGGAGGGCAGGGGGGAGGGAAGAGAGGGAGGATGGGACAGGGAGGGGAGGGAAGGAGGGAGAGCAGGGAGGGAGAGAGGGCAGGGAGGAGGGGAGAAGAGAGGGACAGGGAGGGGAGGGAAGGAGAGAGGGAGATGAGATGAGCCCCCCACCTCTCCCCAAAGCAGGAATGAGACCCCACCCCACCCGGAGTGCGCACTGTCTACAATGCGCCTCTCTTCTCCCTAGATGGAGTCTCATCGCTTTTCTAGTGAGAAAACTGAAATCTGAGGCGAAGGGGGGATGGAGGGGATGGAGGGGAGGGGGAGCCGTGGGGCATGCTTCCAGCTCCGGAGAAGGTCCCAGAGCGGGCGTGTGCCTGTGCATGTGTGCGTGCGTGTTTACGTGTGCTTGTGCATGTGTGTTCACGTGTGCTTGTGCATGTGTGCGTGTGTGCATGTGAGTGTGCGCATGTGTGCTTGTGCATGTGCTGTGTGTGTGCGTGTGTGCATGCATGCATGTGTGCGTGCACATGTGCTTGTGCATATACACACATGTGTGTGCATGTGTGTGCGTGCGTGCATGTGCTTGTGTGCATGCACGTGCGTGTGCGTGCTTGTGCATGTGTGTGCACGCGTGTGCATGTATATGTGTGTGCATGTGCTTGTGTGCGTGCATGCTTGTGTGTGCGTGTGTGTGCGTGTGCATGCGTGCATGTGCTTGTGTGTGCATGCACGTGCGTGTGCGTGCTTGTGCATGTGTGTGTGCACGCGTGTGCATGTGTATGTGTGTGTATGTGCTTGTGCATGTGTATGTGTGTGTATGTGCTTGTGCATGTGTGTGTGTGCTTGTGTGCGCTTGTGCTTGTGTGCATGCATGCTTGTGTGTGCGTGTGCATGTGTGCGCATGTGCGTGCGTGCATGTTTTGTGCGTGTGCGTGCATGCGTGTGCATATGTGTGCATGTGCATGTGTGCGTGAGTGCATGCACGTGTGCGTGCACACATGCTTGTGCATGTGTGTGCTTGTGCGTGTGTGCATGGGTGTGTGTGTGCGTGTGCATGCGTGAGTGTGCATGGTGTGTGCGCACGTGCACGTGTGTGTGCACCTGTGCCGCAGGCAGGCAGGTGGGCACCTCTGTGTTATCTTACAGGGGGACGTGTACGGAAGATTCCAGCTTCCTTTTCTCGGGGGTGGGGTGGGCCTTGAACTCAGGACCTGGGTGTCTTCTCTGAGCTGGGTTTGGCTCAAGGCTGGCATCTACCACTTGCGCCACAGCTCCACTTCTAGCTTTTAGGTGCAGATGAGAATCTTCCAGATTTGAACTCTGACCCTCAGGTCTCGGTGACAAGCGTGAGTCACCGGGGCCGGCCCCAGTCCCTTCTCACTTGTGACTCCCAAGGTGGGGTCTTGCTCTGTGCCCTGGCCAGCCCGGGCTCAGGTCTTCCCGTGCGCCTCCCCGTGTTGCTGGGTGACAGCCCTGCGCCAGGCTTCCCTCTCCTACCCGCTTGTGATGGTGCTGCAGCCTGGACAGGAACTGGAACTTGACACACAGCTGCTCGTTGGTGCTCAGCTGCAGGAGGGAGAGCTCCGTGCCCTCCAGGTACAGGATGCTGGCTGGAGGTGGAGGAGGGGCGTCGGCACCTGCGCCCACACTTCCCGTCCTGCCTGCTCCCCTGACCCCGCTTTGCAGCGAGGCTGCTTGGCTGGCCGGGCCGAGGGCCAGTCCTCAGGGTGCTGGCCGTGTGGTCTCGCGTGGAGGGCAGCGGCCCCACACCGGGGCGGGACGCGGGAAGCGGGGTCCCAGCCCGAGAGGCGCGGGGTTGCCTCAGAAAGTTCTTGCCCTGGCCAACCAACGGGTTCCTGAGTTCGTAGTGTGGCGGTTAAAATGTGGGGTGTTTCGTGAAGGGGTGTGGGATGGACATAGACCGGCTGCAACTGCAGTGGTGGGTTCTGTCAGCCCAGGGCCGAGTCTGGACGGAAGAACCACAGTGCTGTCTGTCTGTGGGCGGTGGCAGCCACAGGAGGACCGCCAGCCCCGACTCACCGTCCGTCTGCAGGGTCCACTCGATGAGCAGCACAGGGACGCGGTCCCCATGCCCAGTGAGGGCCACGCCCAGCTGGGTCCTCACGAGCTTGGGGGAGGAGGGGGTCAGGTTCTGAGGGTGGACCCAGCTGTCGTCCAGGCAGGAACCTGCGAGCCGGGGAGGAGGGCGCGCAGCTGAGGGCGGCGCCCAGAGGCCACTGTGCTGGCGTGGGTTCAGGGGGCGCTGGGGGCGGGTTCTGGGGAGGGACCCCGGGGCGGGGCTCCGTGGGTTCAGGGGGCGCTGGGGGCGGGTTCTGGGGAGGGACCCCGGGGCGGGGCTCCGTGGGTTCAGGGGGCGCTGGGGGCGGGTTCTGGGGAAACGCTGTGGAGAAGGGGTGCAGGAGGGAAGGGCGGCACTGTCGGGGTCCGTGAGGCACAAGGGAAGGAAATGGAGAACTTACTGCTCTGCACGGCACAGCGCAGGCCCTGTGGGAAGAGGAAGGTGGTCAGCGCCTGGGAGGGAAGCCACGCAGCAGCCCGCAGCCCAGCCCGCCCGCTCACTCTGGGGACATCTTCCCACGCCCTTCCTCTGCCCAGCAGAGGAGAGGGTCCCCAGGACGTTCCACAAAGTGGAATGCTAACAGTTCTTGGGGTGATGCAGAGCCTGGATTCAGGATCTCCCTCCAACCACCTGGGCCTCAAGGGCCGGTGTGCGCTGAGGGCAAGGCCCACTCACTTCTCAGGACACTCGGAGTAGGCAGTGGATCCCTGCAGGCACTGGACCCCTCCGGGCAGTGGACCCCTGTGGGCACCGTACCCCTGCAGTGTATCCCGGTGGGCACTAGACTGCTGCGGGCACTGGACCCCTGCAGGCAGTGGACACCCTGCAGGCAGTGGACACCCTACAGGCACTGGACCCCTGCGGGCAGTGAATCCCGGCAGGTACTGGACCCCTATGGGCAGTGGACCCCAGCGGGCACCGATTGCTGTGGGCACCAGACCCCTGCAGTGTATCCCAGTGGGCACTGGACCCCTGCAGGCACTGGACCCCTGTGGGCTCCGGACCCCTGCGGGCAGTGGACCCCTGCGGGCAGTGGACCCCTGCGGGCAGTGGACCCCTGCGGGCAGTGGACCCCTGTGGGCAGTGGACCCCTGTGGGCACTGGATCCCTGCGGGCAGTGGATCCCTGCGGGCAGTGGATCCCTGCGGGCAGTGGACCCCTGTGGGCACTGGATCCCTGCGGGCAGTGGATCCCTGCGGGCAGTGGATCCCTGCGGGCAGTGGACCCCTGCGGGCAATGGACTGCTGAGGCCTCCCTGCGGGCAGTGGATCCCTGCGGGCAGTGGACCCCTGCGGGCAATGGACTGCTGAGGGCTCCGGACCCCTGCGGGCACTGGACCCCTGCGGGCACTGGACCCCTGCGGGCACTGGACCCCTGCGCACTGGACCCCTGCGGGCACTGGACCCCTGCGGGCACTGCGGGCAGTGGACCCCTGTGGGCACTGGATCCCTGCGGGCACTGGACCCCTGCGGCACTGGACCCCTGCGGGCAGTGGACCCCTGCGGGCACTGGACCCCTGCGGGCACTGGACCCCTGCGGGCAGTGGACCCCTGTGGGCACTGGATCCCTGCGGGCACTGGACCCCTGCGGACAGTGGACCCCTGTGGACACTGGATTCCAGCGGGCAGTGGACCCCTGTGGGCAGTGGACCGCTGTGGGCTCTGGACCCCTGCAGTGGACCTTTGCGGGCACTGGACCCCTGTGGGCACTGGACCCCTGCGGACAGTGGACCCCTGTGGACACTGGATTCCAGCGGGCAGTGGACCCCTGTGGGCACTGGACCCCTGCGGACAGTGGACCCCTGTGGACACTGGATTCCAGCGGGGCACTGGACCCCTGTGGGCACTGGACCCCTGCAGGCACTGGACCGCTGCGGGCTCCGGACCCCTGCAGTGGACCTTTGCGGGCACTGGACCCCTGTGGGCACTGGACCCCACCCCCCGCGGGAAGGGAGGAGGTGAGACAGAACTGTCTTTTGTCATAAGGCAGCAGGTAATGGTGGGCACTGGCGGCTCCAGCCTGTAATCGTACTCAGGAGGGTCAAGGTTTGAAGCCAGCCCCAGCCTGGGTGGATGGTGAGACTATCTCCAATACAGGCAGCAAAAAGCAGGACTGGCGGTGTGACTCAGTGCGAGATGGCCAGGAGAATGAACAAGGCCAGCAAGCTGCAGACCCCGAGTTCAAACTTTTGAGTACTGCCCCTCTCCCCGGCCCCCAGAAGAGTCAACAGATGATACCTAAACTGGACAACTGAAGAATTAAACAAATACGCACATGCTTATTTAGAGGTCAATATCAGGAGAGCAGATTTAGAGTGAGGCTTAAAAAAATACTTTAGTACTTAAAAAACACCTGTTATCTTAGCTACTCCGGAGTCTGAGATCTGAAGATCATGGTTCAAAATCAGCCCGGGTACAAAAGTCCGTGAGACTCTTATCTCCAATAAACCACCAGAAAAACAGAAGTGGCTCAAGTGGTAGAGCGCTTGCCTTGAGCTGAAGAGATGAGGGACAGCACCCACGCCCAGAGTTCAACCCTCATGACCACCAACAAAAAAGCAATTACATGGGCTGGGAAGGTGGCTCAGTGGTAGAGTGCTTGCTTCGCATGCATGAAGCCCTGGGTTCCATTCCTCAGTACCACCTACATGGAAAAAGCTGGAAGTGATGCTGTGGCTCAAGTGGTAGAGTGTTAGCCTTGAACAAAAGGAGCTCAGGGACAGCGCCCAGACCCAGAGTTCAAGCCCAAGGACTGGCAAAAAAAAAAAAAAGTAATTACAAATTAAATTAAAACTAGTTAAGAGATGGCTTATCTATGATGTTAATATGAACAAAAATAGATAAAAATGAAATAAAAACAGTGACCTAGAGGAAGAAATCATGGACATTTTCTTTAGAATTTAATTCCAACACAGAATTTGCACTCAGGTAGTTTATAATAATGCAAAGAAAATATTTATGACTTATTTTGATGGTACTAGCGAAGGTCTTGTGCTATCCAAGATTTCTTCCTTAGCAGTTCTTTTCTTTATTTTGGTCAGTCGTGGGGCTTGAACTCTGGGCCTGGCACTGTCCCTCAGCTCTTCAGCTCAAGGCTGGTGCTCTACTGCTTGAGCCACAGTGCCACTCCCGGTTTTCTGGTGGTTTATTGAAGATCAGAGACTCATGAACTTTTGTGCCCAGGCTGGCTTTGAACCTCGATCCTCAGGTCTCAGCCTCCTGAGTAGCTAGGATGACAGGCGTGAGCCACCAGCGCCCGGCTAGGAGTTACGGCTAGCGGCTTCCAACGTCCTGTTCTTGGGGTGGAGCTGCAGCTCGGTGGTACAGCACCTGTTTGGCACAGGTGTGGCTCTGAGCTCAACTCTCAGTATGGCTAAATAAATAAAAACCACAACAAGGAGAAAAACAAAAAACCACCCATCCACCCAGCTTTAAAAATAGCCAGATCACGTATCAGCTTCCTGTTTGAGTGCAGCGTCAGAAGGGGCGTTTCCCACAACCACGCTTCCACGCACGCGCTCCACACAGCTCTCGCTCTCCTCACGTTGTGGAGAGGCTGGTGGCACGCCCTCTGACCTCCTTCCTCCCTGCCTCATCTTGTGCCCACTTAGAAGAGGAGGAAGAGAAATCTGAGGTTTTCATTTTATTTTTGGTGTGGTCCTGGGACTTGAGTTCAGGATCTGGGGCTCTGTCCTTGCTCAAGGCTAGAGCTCTATCTCTAGAGCCACAGCACCATTTCTGGCTTTTGTTTTTGTTTTTTTGGTGGTTAATTGGAAAAAGTCTCACAGACTTTCCTAGCCTCTACCGGGGACCCTCAGATCTCAGCCTCCAGAGCAGGTGCAGGCTGAGGGGAGGGGGAGGGGAGAAGGCGGCAGAGCTCTGTCCCACTGTGGAAGTGCGTGGCTCAGGGCTCAGTGCTTCCCTGGGGGAGAGGCTCAGAGGCAGGAGGTGTGAGCCCCAGGCTCCCCCCCCCTGCCACCTGCGTGAGCCCAGCCTCACACACACTCCACCTGACCCTCGCCCCAGACCGGCTGCCAGCCGGTGCCCCCAACCTGCACCCCTGGGGCTCCCTGGCCTCAAGACCTCTGGAGGGCAGCAGGAAGGGCCCGGGGACATGTCTCAGCACTGCACACCCTGAACACAAGTCTCTTTGGGGGAGCCACTTTGTCCTGACCTTCTTTTGGACAGATCACACACAAAGTTAGATTGAGGAATGTCCCTCTGTGTCACATCCTCTGACTCAGAGACCAAGCGGCCTCCCTGGCCGGTGTGGGGACAGGGGAGCTGGGCAGGGAGCCCCAGAAAGTGGAAGAGGGGGAGCGGAGGGCGTGTTTTCCTGGAAGGGGAGGCAGGGTGAGTTATTTTTTTAAAAGAAGAAACTGCACCGGCCGCAGGAGTTGCACCGCCAGGCAGCTGGTGCTTCCTGTGGCGGCAGAGCCGCTCCTGACAGGCAGGACCACTGCTCACGCCCAGCCAGCTTCCCTTCCTAGACCAGCGTGGTGGGCTGTAGGGTGTGGGGCGTGGGCCTGCGTGAGGTTTTCAGAAACATCCAGGCCGGCCTGGGGGTTCAGACCTGTGATCCCAGCTCCTTGGACCCAGACATCAGTGGGTTGAGGCCAGCTAGGGAAACAGTGGACAAGACCCTACCTCAGCGGACACCCGCGTCCAACGTTTTGCTGCTGGGTGGGGTTGGGGTCGGAGTGGGGGTGGTGTGGGTAATGGTCCTCAGTCTCCCCACAGTGGTCCTGCTGTCCCTGACTCCCTGCCTCCAGCCTCACAGTCTGTCTACCCCTGGTCCTGC